CGAGGCTGGTTTCGAACTCCTGACCTCAAGTGATCCGCCCATCTTAGCCTCCCAAAGTGTTGGGATTACAGGCGTAAGCCACCATGCCCGGCCTCTTTTTTTATTTTCTAAAATATCTAAATGGTATGTAAAACTGTACCTGTGCTTAGTGTGCTTAGGACAATATAACATGCACATTTTAGAAAAACACCTTAGGAAATAAACTCAGCAAAGGAGCCATCACTGATGGTACCAGGGTTGCAGGATCATGGATAGATTTTTTAAATTTGCTTTTTTCCCAAAATTCCAGTAACATAACCACATTGCTCATATGTGTTTTTAAGTGGCCCCAGCAGAAACTGAGTACCAGTCTGCAACCACTAGCATGCGACAGTGGCCTGGGAGCCAGTCTTGCTGTACTCACAAACACATGGGCAAACTGTCCTCACCCTTCATGTAGTACAGAGTGTCGCGCAGCATCTTGAACATGGTCAGGTAGAGGGGGTCACTGAAGGAAGTGTAGTAGAGATCAGCACTGGGGTTGGCCTGCAGGGAAGGCAGACAAACATGACTACAGAACAGAAACTCCCTTCTGCCCACCCTTTGCCTTCACAGCAAGGCCCTGCGGAATGGTGATTCGTGACTTAGCATTCTAAATGAAGTAACTGTTTATCACGACTCATCACTTGGACACTTTACTGTCTTCACCCTCTTAAGCATCAGATCAAGGAAAACAGGAGGCTCATGCAGTCCAGAGATGCCTGCGGGGGAGCAGCCATCTGCACCCTAGTAGGAACCTCCTTGCTGTGGCTGAAGCTCGCCATCTTTGGCCATCATTGGCCCAAACAGGGACATGGGAAGTGGTGAAGGAGGAAGACTGACGAAGGCCACCAGAGTAAGGGATCCACACTGTCCATCATCCCAAGGATAGACATTACAGCCAGGACACCTTCAGATACAATTCATGTTTTGTAACTAAAACGCATTTTAAATTATTCTTTAGGAATCTATTTGAAATGCAGCACTATTCTTCTGCTGAAAAAAAAAAAATTCGCACAAGGTCTAATAAGTTAAGAGGGCCCGGTGGCTCAAGCCTGAAATCCCAGCACTTTGGGAGGCCGAGACGGGTGGATGACGAGGTCAGGAGATTGAGACCATCCTGGCTAACACGGTGAAACCTCGTCTCTACTAAAAAATACAAAAAACTAGCTGGGCGAGGTGGCGGGCGCCTGTAGTCCCGGCTACTCGGGAGGCTGAGGCAGGAGAATGGCGTAAACCAGGGAGGCGGAGCTTGCAGTGAGCTGAGATCCGGCCACAGCACCCTGGCCTGGGTGACAGAGTGAGACTCTGTCTCAAG